GACTGCGACAACGATCTGATGCACACAGTTACATATTGTACATAATCTACAGGGTGATCCATAGGACAGCTTATTTATAAGATTTCTAGCGTATTTCTAACAGTCGGTAAACAAAAAATTTGATTCATATATTATATGTATGCCTATACCGAAATGCGTGTTTTAAGCGACTTAACGATTGTTACGATAATTACAAAATTATATTTTGCGTTTTTTTGGTGATTTTAGGGCATATTTTAAGGTGTACATTTTTACAGCGCGTATTCTGAAGATTTCGTCGACTTTTAAATTCAATAAACATTTACAAAAGCAAGAAGCACGAAATAATTGTTCAAGATTTGTAAATTCGATCGGGCGAATTGATAACGCATTAGTATACCCGTGTTGTTATATTATTTAGCTTATTAATTTGTTTCATTTGTTAAATTTAAATACAATTTTAGAATTTTTTTTTTTTTTTAGAGCATACTAGTATATTTTAGCATCTTTATTGCGTATCTGCCTAAAAAGATTTTTAAGGCATGCATATTTCTATACCCCAGTGATCAATATAACGCGATTACCCTGTATAATTAACTTAGAAATATCACGAACCGATTTATTTTATGACCGGAGTGTCCCATAAATTCGTCACCGGTTATTTTATACGTCTCTCCCCCACCGTACCCATACAATATTTTTAAGTATACCTTAGTACGCCATTTGAGACGGGACCCATCTTATCCGTGTACGCGAATAATAAATTATTTCCATTAATACACGACGAGTAACGACACGTCGTTAAAATTTTTACGAACGTTTTTTTTATCACACCGAGTTTATGACTTTTCACTTATCGTTGTCGTTTCGATCGGTTCGGGACATAATGTTATTTCTTGTATTATACATAGTGAGTTTTTATCGGTGTGCTCGATTTGTGAAAAAAAATAATAGTTTACAAGGGACGGTAAATTTGAAAAAAAAAATTTGATTTATTACAGATTTTGTCTTTTATTCCGATCTTCGACTTCAGGTGTGGTTTCTAGTAGCAAATAATGCCTATAGTTGTTGTGTTAGCGAAATCGTTGATTGCAGGGAAACCAAGCCGGAAAAACGGGAAAATTCAGTGGAAAATAATCCAAGGGCAAAACCTAAAATATATGACCATATCTGATTTTATAAAATCTTCTTTTTTTTTTATTATTATTATTAAAACCTACTGCACCTAGAGAGCATAGGCGCATATGTGGGTCCTCTAAGTATCCTTCGCCATTCTTCTCCACGGCAGTGATATTTGAAATTAGTACACGAATTCATGGACGACATTGCACGTTATATATTATTAAAACACGCGATTTTCGATTCTTAGTTACCTTAAAAAAACTCGTTGACCCACCGATTTCAATAATACTTCAGTTAAGTAAAAAAAGTTAAAAAGACGGACATACTTCACACGTGGGTGGACAACTGTTGTAGATAAGAGTTTGGGAAGGCAGTCGAGGGGAAATTGAATGTATATATGCAAGCAACAATAAACCATTGCTAACGAAAAACCAATTCTGAACGGAGTTCAGTTGATAGTGTTATTTTGTCAACAATATATATTTAATATCGTAGTAAAATAAATATATATTCAAATAATTCGTGTTTTTGGGAAAAATCAATGTTAAAATTGAAAAATAATCTACTTAAGGTACTTTCCCAGTCAGATTTCTTTTTAGAAAACGTGCTACACTTAAAAATCGGAGCAAGATTTCTGGTAGAACAGATGTTCATAAAAAATAAAATAAAAATCTTTGTAAAACCATAAGTTTCTTCGCATCACTCAGAATCTAATACCGCTTTCGTTTTCATTTTTATAATGTCTTTGAATAGCTAATATAATAAAAACGGAAAAAGTAATGTTATAATATTTACTCTAATACGATGATTACAAATCAATGCCAAAATAACAGATGTATCGAAAAAATAAACACATTGGCGGAAAAACCGACAGGGGTCGCTTCCCCTGACAGCGACGCGGTTCTGTCAAAATGGTAATTTTTACAGTATAATAATTAGACGCGTAACAAATTAACAATGTTCTGACTACCTACGCGAAAATGTTCGGAAAAAAACATCTGTACTGTCGCGTCATAATATTGAGTAGGTATATCCGAGAAATTACACCACGCCGTAATCAGCGTGAAAAAAAAAATTAATAAAAAAAACGAACACGTCGGGTGTACGTAAAATTATTTACAAGACGGATCGAAAACGGATGGAAACCAACCGTAAACAAAAAAAAATTACCGAAAACCGAAATCGTGTGGGTCGCGCGTAATTTATAATATGTTTTTTTTCTAATAATAATTTTTAAGAACCCGTTTTTAGATTCGGTGCACATACCTATAGCGACGAGGAACCAAAGGAAATTAGAATTTCGACGGAAATTGTAAAAATTACGGCACAATTTTTTTATCTGTCAATGACTTTTTTCAACAGAAATCACGTTCCGATCATCAATTTAAAAGCTGGTTTCTGCAGGTATTAAGTGTTCGTCTCGTAGTCGCATTGAGCTTATTTTTCGGAATTTCCTTTTAGTTTTCTGAATAATTGGTAAGAAATGTCGGGATAACGAGAAAATGTACGAAATAATGTGCGGTTTCTGTTATTTCCGATTTGGTTTTTCGTTGTTATTCAGTGAAAATTTCGGCGAATAACTTTATGTTATAGCCATTTTTTAGATATGTGGCAAATTTTAAAATATTCTAATAATTTTTGAGTAATCAACAGCTATTTGAAACAGTAGTTTTTTTTTTTTTTTGTTTTGCGTGGATACAAATGTATATTTACCAGCGTTTTATCAAATCGAAATGCACGACACAACTCTTTTGAAACATGGAAAATTATTATATATTTTATACAGGTTCAAATAATTATGATTTTAGCATCTTTAACATTTAACAATGTTTATTATTTTATTTTTTATATTGTGTACAATAATCACCAAAAATTTTAGTCCGATGTATCAGGTGCATCATCTTTCTGAAAGAAAATGTTATCTTCTTGGTACTTTAAAGTACTTTAAGGATGTAATTTTCTGATTTTCTAATCAGTTTTCATAATAATTGAGAAAAAAAGTATTAAAAATGGGAAAATTTACGAAAATAATGTTTTTATTATTATTAATTTTGTTTTTTCTTGTATAATTTACTTTAAAATGTTCGTAAAGACTTGACATTTAGACAGAAAACTTTTATTGGTTTTTTCTAGACATAGTAAAATGTTCAAAGCAGTTGAGCCATTTTTCAACTATTTAAAGACATTTCAATTTTGCTAGTTTTTTTTACGTAATTTCGTTCAATAGATATTTTATGGATAAAATTGTTAGGCCAAACAGAAATGCTTTAAAATTTAACAAGAGATTCAGTACAAATCATACTTAGTGGTCAACAAGGAAAAGTTTAGTATTGTTTTTTTTTATAAGAATTTCGAAAATACATAAATGACGAAATTCGTAAATATTACGGCTTTTTAAAACATGTTTACACGAACTCCACTCAGAATCGTTTTTCATTAGCAATGTATAATCGTTGCACACAGATATATACATTAAATTCCTCTCTATATCCTACTTACCCATTTTTTCATCTACAACAGTGGTCCACCTATCGTGAGAAGCATGTATGTTTTTTTTTTTTAATTTCAAAGCATGCTTAACACGGAACATTGCTCTGAATCGTTTTTCATTTGCAATGATTTATCTATATCTATAGTTAGTACAGTTAGAAATTAAATTACCCTCTATGATATGCGTATATCATACACCTTCCCTGCGACTTTATGCGTTTGTAGTTTTTGTTTAATTATTGTACATAAAATATATCGTCGAATCTCTCTCCCCCTCCCCCTCGTATGGATATAATATAATATAACCTAATCGTACGGAATCGTAATAGATAAAAAAAAAAAAACCTCGCAAAAAAATATACCTTCCTGCATAATACGTGCATTATAAAGAAATCCGGTTTTTTTTTTTTTTTTTATGGTCGACCGGGCGCGCGAGAGATGAAAATAATCTGACCGCACGACGGCGGCGTAAGGCCGGAGATCTTATCGACGTCGGCGGCCAGGGGGAAAAAAAAAAATCGAAAAATATAATCTCCGAGGGTCCCGAGTGCGTCGTCGTCGGCCGTCGCGGAGTATCCGATGACGCGGCGCCTTTTCGGTTGACAGTGGCGACGACGACGGTGCGTGCGGCGGCAGCGGCGGCGGCGGCGGCCGGACAAACGAGTCGGTGGCGAGCGCGCTCGCTGGGAATGTCGAAACGAGCGGGCGCGCGCGCGCGAGCCGACGCTAATTAGAGGACGTTCCGCGCGCGAGAGAGCCGCCGCCGCCGCCGCCGACCGAGCCGCGTTCTAAATAAAATCGGACCTTAATGAGACCGGCATACCATCTCGTCCGGAGGGCGAAACTCGCGCGGGTAGACGGGGTCTCCCCGTGCGGTACGCGGCGGTGGCTCTTCTGGTTTACCGCGCGGTCGGTTTTTTCGTACCTTTTTTTCTTCCATTTCCTCCTCTATCTGCTTTTCGCTCTCGGCCGTCGCGCGCCGCCATTGTGCGTATTACATCGTTATCGTTATTATCGTTTTGCCCGCGTATCATCAACGACGGACCGTATTTTCGCCAGACAAATTTCAGCGGCCGGTTCGAATTCACCGCTCCGCGTTCGTGTCGCGTCCGCGGCGAATTGCCGCTTATCGCGTCGCCGTGATCAACAATGCCGTCACAGTTAGTGTTGACTTCGCATTTTACCGAATCCGTCAAAGAGCTAAGTTTAAGTAAACAGTAAATTGTGTGCCGCGGGGTGTTCGAACAAGAACCGCGTGCGTAGAACGGGGGGGGGGTAAATTACGAACCAATAACATGTTGTTTTGCGACAACAGTAATTTGCGAGCGCCCACTGCGACACCGTCAACGCTTATTCGTAAATATTATAACGTATCGATATCCTACAACGACAAAATCAAAACCGTTGAAATGGACCAATCGCACAAACAGGGATACGAGTATATATCGTACTGGCGTAAATCACGGGGTCATGTGATGAATACGGTGGTCCAGGAATACTCTGCTAAAAGACTCTGCGGGAAAGACTGCAGTTTAGCCGCGAACGCTAGCCGAACAGTCGACGGAGAATAATCTTACGTAAAGGTTAAATGAAGACATCATATGAAAGAGATCAGTGGTGTACGTTACAAAAATGAAAATGTTCAGGATCTCTTTGATAGGTCTTCAAATGGCAATCATATGACGTACCTGTATGTGTTTAGCGGTATTCTTAACGCGACCGTATAATGTTTAGGGGAAATATAGCAATTTCGATTATTATTCGCGTAAAATAACAACAGTAAAAGTATAACACGACAACAATAATAGAATCTATAACATAACAAACTGTTCGGATAATAAATGAAATAACGTATTGTGTTTGCTTATTAGAAATATAGAAAATAAATATAGAGCTAATGATGTGCTGCTAAACTAGTTTTCCATATTTTTCGGATCGGCAAATCCGCGGCGAGTAGTGCGAGTGCGAGCAGGCGAGTGCTGCGCTTAATAGACGCGCAATCTTTTTTCTACAAAATCCATTTCCGCAGTTGCTTTTTTTTCAAAGCGTTGTTTGGGCACAACGGGACACATATAGCGTGGACCGTCCCTCCCAGAACGGGACGTACGGCAGAAACAAACCAAAGAAGACAATTTAAAATTCAAATTATTTATCTTGTAACTTGGATACGATAATAAGCTAAAATAAGATAGTTACTGTACAAGAAAATTGTACAACTTGTATAATAGGTATATAATCGTTGAAAATATTATTTCACATAAATTGTATATTTTACCGTATTGATTATTATATTAGTAATTGTAGCTGACAAATTTATTTGATACGATATGCGCTTATTGGATTATATTGGGCGTTTTATAGTTATTATTGTCCGATGTATACACACTTTGTATTTCCGTGGAAAACGGCCGGAGAAATCTATATATAGGTATGTATAAAAAAAACAACAAACAGGAATTCAATAGGTAATTATCGTTTTATTATATTATAATTATTAAAAAAAAAAAAAAAAAATAGTTGAGATCATAATATATCGTATATATATATATATATATATATATACACAATACATGCCTACAATAATAAAATACACATTCATAATATATACGTACAAACAAAAAAAAAAAAATAATTTACAAAAAATATGAGAATTTACAATAATTAAAAAAAAAAAAAAAACATAACAATGCGATTAGTCATAATCCTAACAATATAAACGTATTAATATTAATTTTTAACATTGCACTATAAGAATAAAAAAAAAAAAAAAATAATAATAAAAAGACATAATGAAGCTCGTTATATTATACATAACCTATTGTAAGACATTTAATTTTTTTTTGTTTAAACTTATTTTAATAATTGTATTCGGCGTATTAATAACAAACGAAACCGTTTAGATAAATAAGAATATTTGTATGTAGTTACAAAAAAAAATCAAAAATCACCTTTTGATATTATATATTAATACCTATTTGAAAAATACAATTTTTCATTTTGAGATTTTTTTTTTTACGTTTGGCACATAGATTCACATAAAGATATCACTATCGTTATCGTTTAGTATTATTATCATTATTGTTACACTATTATTATTATTATATTTCAACGGGCGCGAGGACGAGGTTGAGTGGGAGTATATACCTACATTGAAATACCTTTTTTTTTTTTTCTTCTTTTTTTTCCCCTTGATCACGTGCCATAGAATAGGTACGTGACATCCTCGGCGAGACCGTGGGCATTATAATAATACACTGCGAGACGATAGAGAGAAAAAAAAAACGCGTTTGAAACGATCTGCTTTATATATAATATAAACGAATTAGACAAGCCGGATCGTCTAATCGAAAAATCGGCCGGGTGATGAAGAAAAAAAAAATTGTCATATAATAAAAATACGTATAGGCACAGGCGTACCCGCAGGATTTTACATGCTCGTATAATATAATGTAATATTTAAAAGCGATTTCTTTTGGCGTCCTTGGAATCGCAGCGGCCGTTAAAATCTCCGTGTACGCGGCTAATGCAATATACAACCGTCGACAATATTATCAAAATATTTTGCGTAAAAACAATAATCGTAATGGAAAAACGATATTATACACGGATGAAACATTCGTACGGCGAATGCGCGCGGAAACGATCATGAAATAATACGCCTAACTCGCGTTAATATCGCGTCAGCTTTCGTACACTACATTATTATTGTCATGATGCATAGCCCGCAGGGGCGTGATACTAGAAAAATATTTTCAGACGACATCCGACGAGCAAAAAAGCGTACACGGGTGAAAAAAAAAGAAATATTTCCGGTTTTTTTTTTTTTTTGTCTGCGATAAAACGTTATCATTCGTATATTATTTATGTGATATTATGGTAAATCGACGATTTACACGGAGAAAAGAAAAACACGAAACATTACGTCTTTGCCTTCGACCCGTTTCCCTTATCGCATGTTTTCCGATTTCTTTTTTCCCGCCTCGGTCCACAGTGGATAGGTTAGGTTAGTAGATTGGTGCATGGTAGTGCATACGAGTAAGACAAAACTTATAAAACACAATAATATATATATATATATGTATATAAAGTCAGATCACAGCCACAAAATCGTTTTTTAATGTTTATTTTTTGTTCGTTTGTCGTTGCCCGAGCGCCGGACGAAATATTTACGAAAACCTCGAGGTTTTCGTTTTTCCCACGTGTTATATGCAATTTCGTTTTGTATCGCGTATCACTCGGTAATTAATTCACGGGCCCTACAATAATACGTACAATATTATTATCATCGCCGCGACGCGCTCCGCAAACAACCTCACAAATAGTTTTATACAATTCTGAAACTTATACGACGGGAAGACTGTAGACCAAAAAACAAAACAAAAAAAAAAAAAAAATAAAATAATAATAGTTGTCCAACAACGGTTATGGTAACCCTGTATAGAAAGTATACCGGCGGGTATCGTACACGGTATACAACACAGCATCGCGACGGTGGACGATAGTCGTTCGGTTTTACGCATTCAACCGGCCAGAATGCATCCAGGCGCTTTGTCCGCTTTGACGGCCAGTCGCCATTCCTCCAGCCGGGGCGCGCACCGCAGGGCCAGCTCGTCGAATTTGGCGCGGGCCATGAACACGAACTCGCCCGGGCCGACCGCGGGCCTGCAGCCCCGTCCGAACGTGATGGTCATCGGCCGTTGTCGTTCGCCGTCGCCGCCGTCCCGCTGCTGTTGCGGCTGCTGCACCCGGTCGTCCTCTTCGGGCGGCAGCCGGTGCGCCTTTGTGGGCGACACGCGCACGCGCGACACGTCGCCGTCGTACGACACGCCCACTATAGTGCCTTGGACGACTGTGAACAAAAAACGATCAATTTGGTATATATATTTTACTCGGACGCGGTCATAACGACACGGGTATTATACAACTGTGTATAACGTACGGAAGGGAATAGAGAATCTTACAAATTGTACATTTTCGTGTAAACGGTTAAAAATCTGTTCCAACACGAGTTTAAGTTTAACGATTTGAATTTTTCGCGTGCTCTTGGCGATTTGCGTACGTAATTAATATAATATAAATAGAATATACGGAAGAATTTCTGTAAAAAAAAAAAAAAAAAAAAAAAAAAAAAACAAAAACAAAACAACAATGTCACGTTTTGTCTTGCGGATTCCCGTGATCCCTGCACGGTAATCGCGTTGCAATAAACACAAATTTGCGAATTATACGGTTTGTGATGATATAATGTTTTTAAGGAAAATGCATAAGCCATCATTTATCCCGGTTCCTGACACGTACACCTTTGAACATTGCTTATTGTTGTTTGTTCGAACATATATTGCGCACGGAATTTGCGAATTTACTGTCGAGTTTCGTATTATAATCACGCCGAACGAACATTTTTTTTTTTTTTTCTCAGTGCACCTCCCCCATTACCTGAACACATTCGTTTTAAACGTTGCGACACAAGAATTTATAATAACGACTTCACGGAGTCGAACAATATCGGCGGTAATCGTTACGATTTGCGGGCGACAATTAAAAATGTATGTATATTAACATAATACGTCCCGTTCGGTATCATCACGGAATTATTAATTTATGCAGAAATTTAACGTGGGTACATAAGACAACACGCGGTAATCGTCATTAATTATGAACGTACGCCGTGATGCGTACCGGGGCGTTTGTTATATCCGAATATTTTATTTATTTTTTATTTTTAGGTATAAAACCCACGCGTGTTAATCCCACAGTTTAATTTATAATAACACGTTACGGTTAATAATGTTGTGAAATCGGTTAATGTCGTTATACTTATACTTTACGTAGTGAACGAAAACCGATGTTGTGCTGTTAGTTTCAATAATTGCTGCAGTGTATTGGGCTAACACATTTTTAGTGTTTGCACGTTGGTTTTTTTATTTTTTCGATAATCAAATTTTTAAGCAAGATTCGACGATTTTTAAATTGTAACAATTGTACGTATGCGCGACTGACTTGAAAATTAATATAACTATCGAAAAAAACAACGAACAACGAACAAAAAGAGACAATACCTTCTTGTCTTTCAGTTTGATAATAGGCTAAAACACTCTAACATTAAAACTTACAGCAAAACATAGGTTTTTATGTTCAAAAAGTATACATTATATTTATAACGATATTAACCGATTTCACGACGTTAACCGTAACAAATATAATATGGGCATACGGTACGATCGAAAATGAAGCTGGTAGAAACCACAATCGTTTTTGGACACCAACATACAAAGGCGTAAATGAAGATTACTCGTAGGAGGAGGGGCGTTTGTATAGATATCAAAATTATTTGTAATAGCGGTGAATTGGATATTATTTTTGTATTATTGATTGGGATTTCGAAATGGAGAGGGGGTTAACGAATGAAAAACCACCAATATATCACCCACTATCAAAGTTGAGTATTGTATACCTATCTTCGACACAATAAGTATCTTACATACGTACCTATCTCAGTCATAATATACAATCGTATATCTTGTATTACGATACAGATAATTATCAGAAATTAACGTACCTAGTATTGAAT